TTTTGGGTTTCCAGAGCCCCAGATGTCTCCTCCACTAAAATCCAAACCAGGGCTGAGATGGATCCTCCCCCCCGCCATTCATCTCCTGATGTCACCAGCTGGGTGTGATGGAGGGAGGCCAGCCTTGCCAAGCCAAGCAGAGCCCTCAGACCCTGTCTGTTTCATGATCTCCGGGGCACAGACGTCCCTGATCAGTTCTCCCGTGAGACCTGTCGTCTGCTTGGCTCCCTGCCTCTGCTCTGGAGTTTCTTGCTGGTGGACTACAGGGTCTTCCCTCCCCGTCCTTCTCCTCTGTTCCTTGATGTCCCTGCTTGTGAGCCCTGCCAGCGAGACCGACAGTCCACAGGGGTCCCTCCCTCCCTGAGAAGGACCCTCAGCAAAGTCTTTCCCTCCTTTTTCACTCTTGCGGTTTCACAGTGTGACTCTGGTTAGCCAACGCCATGAGGACTGTGGCCTCCATCCGCTCCCTCCCTGTCCAGGAAGAGGCCGGTTTCCCAGTGCAGAGAGTGAGCAAGGATCTGGGCTTCCAGAGAAATCTGCCTGCCCTCCTTGGGGCGGTGGCTGGAGGCATCTCTCCTCTGTAGATCAATGACGCTGGAGGGACTGGGACAAGACCCGGGGCTCCTCCCTTTCTAGGGAGGTGCCAACAGGCGGTCAGTTGGCCAGAGAATTTTGTCTTGTCCCAAACCAAGCAGATGGCTTCCAAATTGGTGAGACTGGGAAAACCAGGGCTGGATGGTGCAGACACTTCTAGGGAAACTACAGTGTCATTGAGGTCACCTGTGGGCTGGTTGGCCCTGGCTCCTTCTTGGCCCATCTGCCCCTTCGTCTCTGCTCTTGACTTTCTCAGATAGTGGTTCCAACTGTGCTCTGCGGAGTCACACCCTCCAGATGGTAGATAAGGATCACGAGCTGCCCAGCCTTCTTCCGGAGGGCGCTGCCTGGGGTTCCGAGCCCCTCCTAGCCCTTTTTCACCCTCAAGAAATCATGTTGGGACACACGTGGGTGGGGCCAATGGTCGTGAACCTGCTGCCAGTGTATTCTCAAAAAGTAAAAGCAGAAAGTAGCAGGTGTCTGTGCTCCGTGATCCTGAGCTGCGGACAGGTGGTGGCAAAGCTCAGGCTGACCGATCCCACGTCACGCGCGAGATTCTTTGTCCCTCTTTTAGTTGGCTCTCTGGTGCCTTCAGAGCAGCCCTGACTGCTTGCCTGCCTGTCTCCCGATGATTCTCCTGCTTCCTCTCCCTGCTTCTGGTGGAGGCTGGGGAGTCTCTGACCTCTCTGATCTCTCCCGGACCCCTCCCTCTGTCCAGATAAGTAGAGGGCGGAGGTCAGCGCCCACCCCCGGGGCAGCCCCGTCTTGGGTCATGATGTTCCAGTGGGCTAGTGGGTATGGCACGGTGGTGGTGGTAATGGGAACACTCTTGCAAGTAGACACCACCCCCCCCCCCCCCCNGCCCCCAGGCAGCAAGTTAGAACTGGGAGGTCCCCGCGCCACGCCAAGGGGCTCACCTGTAGCTCAGGATCCTGCCCCAGGGGGGAGAGACAAGAAGGGAGGCGCAGAGCAAGGGCCTCCAGCAGGGGTGTGGGTGGAGGGGCACCCCAGCGGCCAGGCTTCTTGGATGGCTCCAGCGGCGGCGCTGGAGACGGGCACTTTGGAGAGTGGCGACAGGCGGAAGGAGGGACAGCTGACCGTGCCTTTCCAGTGGGGTGTTACAGAAAGACTGAGAGTGAGCTCTGTGGCCAGGCAGAGCTGTCCCTGTGGGGTTGAGAGCTCTGCCAGGCTGCTGAACGCACTCCTCAGATGTCTCTGAGCCTCCTTGTCCCGCTCCGTAAAATGGGGTCAGCGCCCTCTGCCCGTGCCTGGAGCCCCACCCCCCGTCTGAGCTCCCTTCAGGTTATGCAGCCCTGGCTTTGGGTCCCCCTGGGGCACTTGGCTGGCAGGGCTTCGATCGTTGGTGGCAGGGGAAGGGGCCTCCCTGCCCTGGGCTCCTCCAGTTGTCCCAGTTCCAGGTTCAAAGTCACAGGGCAGCGGCCTGGGGGCAGGGCTGTGAAGCGCTGAAGCTTCTCCCCCGGGGCCTCTGTCCTGTCCCGGGAGTGAGTCGGAGGCTCCTGGGCTCAGCTGATGTTCTCCGAGGAAGACTTGGAATGAACCCGAGGCACAGAGGGATGAGGTCAGTGGTTTTGCTCGGCAGGGAGGCCCGAGTCAGTGACAGACCTGTCACAGCTCCCGGGATTCCTGGCCGCAGTCCACGGCTCCGCCTCGCCCCCCCTCCCATCCGTCCTCAGGGCAGGGCCGCGGGTTTCTTTCCTGAGTGTCTCCTCCTGTCCCAGCGGGACGCTTGGGAGGTGTTCCCCCTGCCGGGTGGCTTTCGTATACTCATTGATTTCATTGATTTCCTTACCCTGCGCTCTCTGAGGTGTCTGAACAACTAAAACCCAGAATCGCCACTGGGAGCAGGCTGAGAGTGCTGTGGATTTGAACGTGCCCCCCCGCCGCCCCTCTGTACTTGGAGGCCCATTCTGTCCACTTAGCCACACTGCCATGCGAGCTGGGATGCCAGGAGGGGGCTTCAGAGAGCTGTGTGGTCAGCAGCCCAGCTCCCAGCACCCTGTGGGCAGCCATGTCTATGGTTCGCACAGGATGACTCTGCGGGCTGCTTAAATGTCTCCTGGGCCCTCACCACGAGCACGTGCAGAACGGGGCTTTGACGCCTGTTTTTAATCTCACAGTCCATTGGCATTTTGCCTCAGACTCCATAAAAGTAGCCTTTCCTAACAGTTTAATTTATATTTTGATCGCACAGGGTCTTCACTGCTGTGTGCACAGGCTTTCTCTGGTTGCGAGCGGGAGCGGCTCTTGGTTGCAGTGCGTGGGCTTCTCCTTGCGGTGGTGTCTCCTGTTGCGGAGCACGGGCTCTGGACACACGGGCTTCAGTAGTTGCAGCATGTGGGCTCAGTAATCGTGGCGTGAGGGCTTAGTTACTCTGAGGCACGTGGAATCTTCCTGGCCCAGGGATTGAACCCGGGTCCCCTGCGTTGGAAGGCGGATTCCTATCCACTGTACGGTAGCCCTTTAATTCAAGGCAGTGGTCTCAGTTTCTTGCTCCTGAGCCAGTTTGATCCTGAGACAGTATTCTGGGTTTACCCCCAGCTGGCTCCTGGGCCCCTGGCCGCCACGTGCCCCCTGGGGGTATGGACATCCCTGTGGGGGTGGGGGTGGGGCATATGTTCAGTATTGTGAATAAGGGCACACGGCTGGGGAGAGGGAAGTGGGGGCCCAGTTTGGCTGCAGAGGCAGGTGGCGGTGAGCAGGCCAGGAAGGTAAAGGCTGTTGGGACTGTATTCTAAGAGACTCAAGGCCGGAATGCCAGCCCCGGGGGTTCCGGTCTCGCCCTGCAGACAGAGAGGGTCATCAGTGGCTGGGCATCGTGAGTCCCCCTTGCTTGACACACACTCAGTCACCGCCTGAGAGGCTCATGAAGGGCCTCGTGTGGTGGATCTGCGGAGCAGAAAGGAGGCTCCTGCCCTCAGAGGGCGAGCTGTCTAGTGGATGCACACGCAAAGGTGGGGTTTTCAAGAAGTTCACACGGTGGCCTCTTCTGCACGGGTTAGAGTCGGGAAACGCAGGGCAGGGGGCTGCCAGCGAGTTCGAGAAGGGGCCGAGCATGGATTCGGTTGCCAGTCTAAGTGGCTGGCTTCCTGTGATGGAAAGAAAGGGAGGCAAGTAAAGGGAAGAGGGGGGCTTCCCTAGTGGTCCAGTGGATAAGAATCTGCCTTCCAGTGCAGGGGGCATGGGTTCGATCCCTGGTGAGGGGACTACGATCCCACATGCCCTAAGTTGCAGCCAAAAAGTGGGGGGTAAAAAAAGAAGAAAGGGGACAGGCCCTGTGAAGGAAGAGCTGATGGTACTTGATAGTGACTTGTGGGGAGCTAGGAAAGGACTCGTAGGCTATTACAGGTGCTACAGGAGAACAGGGAAAGGCTGCGAAGTGGCCCAGCTTCCAGAGACGGGGAAGCAGGGACCTGTGCTGGGGCCACCGTGAGCTGTGTTCATCAGTCAGAACTTGACTGGTGTAGAGTGGGTAACTAGTGCTACGAAGTCCACAAACACCAGGAAGAGACTGCAGCTCGTTCCTGGAACACAGGCAAACTTTTGAACTTTCTGCTTGGGTCTCTGTAGGGCGGATGACTCACTGCAGAGCCCCTCCTAACCCCTGTTGATGATCAGCAGGAGTGGGAGGCCCTCGGAGCCGCCCTGCTCTGCAGCAGCCTGACATGCCTCGAAGAGCCCAGATTGCAGGCTTGGATGGGCTGGCTGTGAAATATCTGAGAAAAACCCCAGCCTCTGAGCTTCCAGGGTCCGAGGCTGTCTGTCTCACTAGTTGTGTGTACATCCACATGTCACCCTTTGAAGAAACCGCGGGGTAGGCCTGGAGTCGGACCCTAGATGTGACCTTAGAAAAGTCCAGAGTCCCCGGGTCACCTGAGGAGGTGGATGAAATCTGACCAATGAAATGCATCCACGGGGTTGAGCCCCTCTGGGGGAGGGCGGGGCCAGCTGATGCTGGACCCAGGGATGAGTTATTTACTACAGAAACAAGACTTGGCGGTCCAGGCAGCCTGGACCTACTGCAGTGCCCGTTGTGGGTGGTGGAGACGTGCAGTGGGTACCTGGGCGGCCTCTCCCGCCTGCTGCTGCTCAGCCTGCTGGAGCCCCCTCAGATGGGGAAGCGTGGTGGCCCGCCCGGGGCCGGGTCCCTGGTGCAGATGGGGCCTGGGGTCGGTTGGCTTCTGCCTGGAGCTCGGGGTGGCCTTGGCCTTTGCCTTTGAGCCTTTGTTCTCTGATTGCCTGTGCTCTGTGACCTTGGGCGCCACCCAGGCACCCAGCTGAGAGTCGGCCTGCCTGCCTGCCTGCCTGCACACTCTTGTTGAATCAGTCCCTGCTAGGAAGGGCAGGCTGGAAACCGTCCTCCGAGGCAGGTGGGAAGCCCAGGGAAGAGCCGCCTTCTCCACAGGGCCGCCTCCCACCTCTCGGGGCAGCAGCCTGGACGACTCTGGCCTACTCCCCTGGTTTCCTGTGTGTCACCCCCAGCCCACACTTCCTTCAGGGCCAAGAGGAAAACGCAGTTCCTGTTGAGTGAGGCATGAGTCAGCGGAGGGGAGCGGTGGCTGAGTCTTCATAACCTCCAGGCATGGCTATTAAATATCTAAATGACACTCCAGGATTGATCGCTTCCCCTCCCGGCCCCTTCGGGAGCGCAGGTTCGCTGTCCGGGGTTCAGATAATCGCTGTATCCTGGATTTAGGCAAACTCTGAAGAGCTCCAGGGAAGTTCTCTATAAATCTCACCCTAGATTATATCGTCTCCTCCTCCTTGGAGCTCGCAGTCTGGCGTGGGAGCCAATTGGGTCTGCTTATTTTAGGCTAGCTCAGTGACGGGCACCCAGCAGGCTGAGCGGGCTGCTTTCTCTGGCTCATGGCTCCTTCTCCATCTTCTTCCTCCTCACTGTCCCTCCGTCTTTCAACCCTTCATGCTAGCTCCCCGGGATAGGGCACCCAGAGCTTAATTTCTTGGAGAGGAGGCCATTGGTTGACAAGAACCCAGAACCCAGATCAGCAGGGGAAGGCCCCTCCGAGAGACTGTGTTCCTAGTCAGGTCCTAGCCCAGGCTTGCCGGGGCTGGGCACTGCAGAGTGGACCTGGCTGAAATGGTAGGACTGGCCCTTCCTAGTCCTAGATCTGCCTGTCCTCCCAGGACAGTTATCAGGATAAATATACCCAGCTCCCCATTCCTGGGGAGTTACTCAGCGAGCAAAAGTGCCCCGCCGCTGTGGATTAGATTACCTCTGCCCCTGCTGCTCATGTGCTTGGGGCTGGGGGAGGGGAGACCCGCCCTCCCGCCGCTTGCCTTCCTAATCTGGAAGTCTGAGCAGAGGGGGCTGAGAGATGAGACCATCCCCATGGAGGGGAGCCGGCCCTGCTGTTCACGTGGCCACTTCCTTAGGCAGGGCCCAGCCCTGATCCCTGCTTGCATCCTGAGCTCTTGCGGCTTCTTCTCCGAGCCTCGAGGTGACCAAGGCCGCCCCGGTGGTCAGCAGGGGCCGAAACTTCTCGCCTGGCATTCTGAGCCCAGCGGGGTGGGCAGGCCGGAAGGCTGGGCCTCTCCAGGTCCGGCGGGGAAGGGACTTGCTGTCTGTGTGAGAGGCTGGGTCTCACCATAAATGGCGGGGAGGGACGTCTGGCCCTGGGCCGCTGGCACGGCCTGTACCGGAGCTCTTGGGGCAGGATCCACTCCATCCTCCCTCGGCTTCTCATCTCCTAAGGAGACACCTGCCTGGGCCATGGAAGCTGAGTTAAAGTGGCCTGCAGAAAGAAGGTGGGTGAGCCGAGTCTTGGAACCATCTTGTTCCTGTCGTGGGCCCCTCCTTGGCCAGGCCTTGAGAGTGGGGTCTTTCTGGTGGTCCAAGGACCCCACCTCTTTTAAGTCGGCCTGGCGCTGGTATGGCAGGGGGTGGCCTGTGAACTCTGGGATGGGATGATGCCCCCGTGAACCCGCCCCAATATGAAGACCCGCTGGGGTGGCTTCTCCCGTTGCGACTTTGTTTCCCCACCCCCAGATGGTGCCCCTCACTGCTGATCCGAGATTGCAGCATCCTTGGCCTTCAGGAGAGGGTCAGGGTGGGGAAGCGCTTTTCTCCTTTGCTTCCGGGCCTAACCATCCCTGTGGGTGGGAGCTGCATTTACCGAGAGTGTGTGTGTGTATGTGTTTGTCTGTCCATCCGTCCATCTGTCCCAGAGACTGTGCTAAAGCGGGCATGTTACATCCACTCCATCCTATAGTCCTTACTCCTGTGAGTCAAACGGTGAAATTCCTATCGGACAGACAAGAAAACTGAGGCACAGGAGCGATTAAGCAGCCTGGCCTGGCCGAGCAGCTCAGCCATGGAGCAGAGTCTGTGTGACTCAGAACCATCCCCCCATGTGAATTCTAACATCTAGCATCCTCAGAGCCTGTGATGGGGGCAGTGATATCAGCTGGGCCCCCCCACCCCGCTGCCTCCCCTCCACCCCTCCCTTGAGGGATCACGGCTGGCCTTTTATCTCACACTCTCTGGCGTCTGGCCAGCTCTAGGCCTCTGATCTTGATAGTCATTATCGCATTCTAAGAAGTGGCCAGGCTTGGGTAGGGGGAAGGCAGGCTTGCGAAAGAGGCCTGGCTTGTCTTTAGACTCCACTTGGGGGTGGAGGTGCTTAATGGCTCCTCTTTAACTTCTTACTGGGTTAGCCCAGGCCCCAGGAGCTGCAGCCTGGGGGAGAGATCCCCTGTGTTGGGGGTCCTCCCACCATCCACACGTGTCTGAGCTGGTTGGGGAATGTGAGTGGCCCTGGAATGCAGGCAGACCGGCCCCTGGGTCTCCTCCCTCCCAGGGCAGAGAGCCTGGACCCCTGAGTGTTAACCCCCTCGGGGCGGCGGGCCCAGCGGCTCCCACTCTGTCCTCAGGATTGTGCTGAGCGGGTGGTTACTGCAACCCGCCGGGAGAAGGGCCTGCCCTTGGCCTGGCTCTGGTGCGCTGTGCCCACCTGGACACTTCCCTGCCCCTGGGCAGCTCTCAGCCGAAGCCACCACCTCTCCGAGCCGCTGCTTAGGTGCAGCCACCGGGCCCTGGAAGCCAGGGCTTGTGCCTGTCTCTTTTGGGTCCCCGCGGGCTCTTGTGGCACTTTTGAGTCTCACCTTCCAAGTGATATGTGTGCCTGCAGGCTTGGCACACAGGCCCCGTTGTGCTCTTCCTTGCAGCCTGCTCCGTCCTTCCAGCTCAGTTAGGCCTTCCTGGCACTGAAACTTTCCCGGTGTGCCTGCTTGTGACCGGTCAGGGGCTCCGGGGTCTTCCTCTGGCTCCAAAATTCCGTGATTGCAGAGCGGCTACCTTCGGTTACTCCCGGCCGTGGAGAGCCGACGGGTGAGTAGCGCCCCCTGGCGGGAAGTGGGTGACAGTGCACACCCTCTGCCGCCAGGGCGCTGCTGGCTGGCCTTTGCCTCTGGTGGGTGGGCTGGAGACTTACCATTAACATCCTCCACCCACAGTGTCAAAAGGAGAGACCCAGAGAGCCTGCATCAACTGATCCTCGAGGCAAAGCGCCTGCAGAATCTGGGGAGGTTTCCTCCAGAAGGGGACTGGAAAGCCCCCAAGAGAACTCCTTCCCCAGGGTGGCCGGGGGCCCTCCTGGTGGCTCTGACTTGTCCCAGAGTGCTTGGGCCTGGACCCAGAAGCTTAGTGGAGTTTGAGGCCTTCCTCAGCCCAAACTGCTTCAGATGCCGCCTCTGTGTGGATGAAAGGCAGCCTTTGAACACGTGGGAGGGAGGGTATCTTCTCTGACACCCTCTCCAGGGCATTTGTTAAGCAATCTCTGAGCCTACCCCTAGGGGATCCAGAACTGGTGCCAGGCAGTAACTCTCGCTGAAAACTGGGGACCCCTGCGCAGACACCTTGTGGCGCTGCCTGCAGGCGGACTCCCTTGTCCCATCCTCCACCTGCTTCCTCTGTTTATTCAGGCAAGGGAGGAGTTTGCTGAACCTGCAAGAAGACTTTGGCCCGGCACCCTTGTGCAGCCTCTGGGGAGATAGCAGCCCCTAGGAACCCAAAGTAGAGGCCAGCAAGTACCCCTCCACGCCTCTTGTGTTCCCCGATCTTCCTTGAGGTGCCTGTGGGGGGTTTGGTGGAATCGGCAGCCACACGTGTCCTGTCCCTCCCTCAGACGCAAGTTTGGACAACGATGGGGCTCTTCTCTCTGACATCCACACATTTCACTTTGAGTGTTACTTTATTACTTTGCTTTTCTCTTCAAGGATGCCCTTTTCTTGACCTGATCCTACCTTGTCCAGATTCTACCCATAGAGGACTTAGGAGGAGGAGTCAGCACTTGGCAGCCTCACCTGGCCTCCTTGGAGGAAAATCTTTTTTTTTTTTAATTTCTGAAGCAGATGACATGTGATGTTTGCAGCCCTCTCCCATCTCCTGTAGCATCTGCTCTCCCATGTAAACCTCGCACCAGTGCTGTGAGGTGGGGGCCAGGTGATCTGCCCTGTGGCCGTGGGTAGTGTAGACAGAGGCCCAGGGACTGACCTCAGGTCTGGCTTGGCTCCACGACCTGTGATCTTCCATCTCAATCCCCCAGGACTGCGCCTTCCAGCCCACAGATGTAGCTGTGTTGAAAAGAGCCTGTTTAAATCATAAGCCAATCAGCCAGACTCGAAGTCAGCTCATGAACAAGGCAGGGGAAGGCATTTGGTGCAGGGGCGGCAGTGTCCCTAGCTCAGAAGCTTTGACAGGAAAGGTTCACCATCTGTCTTTGATCGAGTGGAGCCCGAGAGACCGCATTCAGGTCCAAGTGGCGTCCCTTTGGTCAGCTCAGACAGCACGGGGGTGTGCCTCTACCTCTTTCAGCCTCAGTTTTGCCATCCGCGCTAGTGGTGGTGTGAGGGGCAGGAGCGGTGACCCAGGTGGCGCTCCTAGCATGCAGTGGGCCTTCGAGCACGGCAGCTGCTCCCATTACTTTTACCAGACTTGCTCCTGTTGCCAGCTCTGGGGGGGGCAGGCTCTGTCCGTGGTGGAGACGGAGGGACCCCTACCCCGCTGCCAGCTTGGGCCCAGAGGAAGCCAGGACGCCTTATGGAGCCAAGGCACCAGGTGTGGCCGTGGAGAGGCCACTGGGATTGGCCCTGGAGGCTGGTTCCTTTTCCTCTGTTACCTTAGACACACACTGACTCCCTCTAGTTCCGGTTTGCTACAGACAGGAAGTCAGGCGTCTTCCAAAGGACCTGGAGGGGGAGGGGGACCTGCAGGACCTGACCTTCCTTGGAACAAGCTTCTGATCAACGGGGGCAGGAGCCTGGGGTAGGTGGGGCCAGGCCAGCCTTGGGCATCGGAGACCAGGGCAGGCAGCTGGGAGGCGGTGTGGGCCGCAGACCCAGACCCTGGGCGAGGCCCTTGCTTCATCCTCAGGGCCTCTGAGCAGGGGTAGGGTTGGGGACGGGGTCACCAGGAAGGACCAGACTGGTGGCCCCGGAGCTCGGGCCCTGTCATTCAGGAAGCTGTGCCGTTTGAACCCAGCATGGTCCTGTGATCACCGCAGCCTCTTGCAGGGCAGATTTTTGGGGGGGTCTCCGAGGAGTCATTCCTGTGATGCACTTACTTTGTTATGCCGGCGACGGGCAGGGAGGCAGTCCTCTCACCTCTTGAAGTTGGTTTCCCATCTGTAAAGGGAGGGTGGGAATTCTAGCCTCATTAGAAGGGTTAACGGAGACCGTGGGTGCAGTGTGCCCAGCACCAGGCCTGTTATTAGTAAAAGGCCGTGAGCCAGCCATTGCTTTCCGAGGATGGTTATCACCAGGCCCCGACCCCAGCGGGTCAGCACTGGGGTGAAAGTGAGCTGGTCGGTGAGCACAGGGCAGGGCATGAGTGAGGGCATGGCACGTTGGGCCAGGCTGGGGGCGGTTGAGGGTCGCAGGAAGGGAGGATCCCCCCTCCACAGCTGTACCCTTCTTATCTCAGGAATGGGGAGATGCAGACACCCCCCCCCCCCCCCCCCCCCCCCCCCGTTGGCTGCCTGGTGCCTGGGTAATGGAAGCTCACCCTCAAGGCCGATCCGGCTCCCTAGCTGCTGTTAAAAGCAGAGTAGTGGGGCCCTGGAACCTCTGGGGCCAGGCTGCCTGCCAGGCTTCTGCAGAAACAGCCTACAGAGCAGTCCTGCCTGCTCCTCTCTGCTGAGGGGGTGGGGAGCAGCGTGCCAGCCTCATCCCGGCCCCCACCTCCCTGGTAGCCCCGAGACTCGGGAGGAGCTTGGAGCCCGAGGTTCGGCTTCTACCTGGTCAGGAAGGCAGGTACTACCTCTCCAGGCTGTGGGCTGAGCCGGCTGAAGCTGCTGGGCATTTAAGTGGGGACCTGGCCCCTCCCTGTGACGTGGGGCCCCTCCCGCTCGGTCTCTCCGCCTTGCCCTGCGGAGTCAGGCAGGCATTTCTAACTCCCGGCCAGCCAACCACACAGCCCTGTCGGGAAGGGAGCCCCAGTGCCCGGCTCCCAGAGGTAGGAGAGCCCCGGGGGGCGGCTCTGGAGCCCCCAGAGCGCCGCCTCCTTGGCCGGGAGCCAAGCTCTGGGCACTGACCTAGCCAGGTTGGTCCGGGCTCGCACCTTCCTGCCTCGGGGCTGGTCTTTTCTCCCATGGGTGGGGCCAGTGCCCAGAAGTTGCTCGTTAACTCTCAGGTGCAGGCCAGGAAGGTGCTGACCCTGGAGGCTGAGTTCCCAGGATCCCTCTCCCTCACCCACTCCCCACCCGCTCTCTGCAGACGCCCTGCTGGCGGACCTGGAGTCCACAACCTCCCACATCTCCAAGCGGCCCGTTTTCTTGTCTGAGGAGACCCCCTACTCCTACCCAACTGGGAACCACACGTACCAGGAGATCGCCGTGCCGCCCCCCGTCCCACCGCCCCCATCCAGTGAGGCCCTCAACGGCACGGTCCTCGACCCCTTAGACCCCTGGCCACCCAGCACCTCCCGATTCACCCACCAGCAGGTAAGGTGGGGGATGGGGGCGCTCAGAAGTCAGCTTCGGGGCCAGTGGAGTGGGTCTGGCAGGGGCTTGGGGAGCCCAGGAAGTTGGGGGGGGTGCGGCAGAGGCAGGAAGCATCTGGCCCTCCCCACCCGACGCCACGTGAAGGGACAGTGACCAAGCATTAATCACCTGTCTCCTGGCCAGAGTGTGGAAACTCCCTGGTGAGGCTGGCCGTGAGCGGGAGGCTCCTGGGGGTGACGCGGGCTGTTCCTTCTCCGCCCTCCCGCCCCCGGGGAGGCGCTGAGCACTGTCCTCCCCACAGCCTCAGTCCTCATCCCCCGTGTACGGCTCCCGTGCCAAGACTTCCAGTGCCTCCAGCCCCCAGGACGGCGGTGGGCCCCCGTGTCCCCGAGCCGGCGAGGAAGACCACGTGTACAGGTGCCAGCCCCTCCCCCTGCCCGGGGATCCCACACACCATGCTGGGCTGAGTCAGCCGAGGTTGGGCCAGGGCGCTGGAGGAGGGCGGGGGCTCCTCCCTGGGTCCTTGGGTTACTGCGGGAGGCCCGGTGTGGCCTTATCTGCCGTCCCCGGGCAGCCGCTGGGCTGGGTGTCATACCGCCCTGCGTGGAGGAAGGTTCAGGAACTGAAGCAACGCTTCCTTCCTCCTCTCTTCTCGCCACATCCCTTCCCCACTCTCTGTCCTTGAGCTGCTGGAGACTGGAGACGTCGGAATCCTCCCCCCCACCCTGCCTGGTTCTCCTGGAGGATTTGGGGAGCTTCTCTCACCTCAGCCTTCCCTTTGCTTCTTGAAGCTTCCCCAATAAGCAGAAGTCAGCCGAGCCTTCGCCCACCGTCATGAGCTCCTCCTTGGGCAGCAACCTCTCTGAGCTCGACCGCCTGCTGCTAGAGCTGAACGCCGTGCAGCATAACCCCCCAGGCTTCCCCGCAGGTAGGACCGGGCTGGGGGGCCCCCTTGCTCCAAGCCCCCCTGCCGGCCTTGGGTCCCCGCGGGGCTCAAGGCTGAGCAGCTCTTCCCTTTCCTTCTCCCAAGATGAGGCCAACTCCAGCCCGCCGCTGCCGGGGGCTCTGAGCAGCCACTATGGCGTCCCGGAGAATAGCAGCCCGCTGGGGGGTAAAGCTGGACCACTGACCAAAGAGAAGCCCAAGCGGAACGGTGGCCGGGGCCTGGAGGACTTGCGGCCCAGCGTGGAGAACCTCTTGGATGAGCTGGAGAGCTCCGTGCCCAGCCCCGTGTGAGTCTCCACCGGGCCTTCCCGGGCTGAAGCCCCTGCTGTTTGCCGGGCCCTGCACCAGGCCCTGGGGGACGGCAGTGAGTCACCCGGACACAAGCCTGCCTTCAGTGAGCCACCGTCCCTCAGGGAGGACAGACCCTGGGCGCCCGAGGGCACACCAGCCCAGGGGCTGTCGGTGCAGGCTTTTTATTTGTTTCTGGCTACACGTGTGGCTTGTGGGATCTTAGTTCCCCGACCAGGGCTGGAACCTGTGGCCCCTGCAGTGGAACCCCAGGGAAGTCCTCCAGTGTAGGCTTTGGAGCCACGCAGTCGGGGCCACATCTTGGCTCTGCACTTACCGAGTGTCGTCTCTCAAGCCTTCGTTTTTCCATCTGTAGAAGGGAATAAAGGGAAGTGAGGTCGTGGGGATAAGACCACCTGCCTCAGTTGGCTGAGACCTGATAAGACCCTTAGAACACATGTACCGAGTCCAGGTGGTAAGCGCCTCCCCAGGGTCAGCTCTTCTCGGTGTTTCCGCGTGGCTGGAACAGCCTCACGTGTGCGTCCAGCGTCGTGCAGGCTGCACAGGATGCCAGGCTTGTTGCATAGGCCGGCTTGAGCTTGGGCTCCTGGGAAAGGTGCCGTTTGAGCTGCCTTCTCCTCTCCCCCATCAGCTCTGCTTGGCACTCTGTCCCCCTGGCTGACAGAAGCCCTCCCCAGCCAGCAACTGGTCCCCAGGAGAGACTGGGAGCTGGTGGGCTTCCCCAGGGTTGGGTGGCGTCAGGAGCCCAGTGTTGGAGCCGAGGTGTTGACCCTGGGGAGGGGAGGGCCATGCTGGGGGTGCTCGGGCTGGCCCCAGGGGTCCCCGCTGATGCCTCCTTGCCTGCCTGCAGCCCTGCCATCACTGTGAACCAGGGCGAGATGAGCAGTCCCCAGCGAGTCACCTCCAGCCAGCAGCAGACGCGCATCTCGGCCTCCTCCGCCACCAGGGAGTTGGATGAGCTGATGGCCTCGCTGTCGGATTTTAAGGTGCCCTGAGGTTCCCCCCACTACCTTGCCCTGCCTGCTCAGAACCCCCCGGTCTTCCCCTCCCGTACCCCAGCATGAGTGGCTGGGACTTGGCCACTCAGGGTTTGGGTGCCTCACCCCACGCCCAGGACACGTGGGCACCCAGCAGCCTGTGAAGGCTGGGGACGTGCTCAGTGGGACATTCCTTCCTGCCTGGGTGCTCCTGGCTCCCTGCCACCCAGGCAAGGGATCAGGAGGCTGAGACAAAGGGCCCAGTGTTGGTGGCTGCTCTTGGCGGGGGAGGGCGGGCTCCGCTGGGCTGGGTGGGATCCTCTACCCAGAGGTCATTTGTCCCAGAGCCGCATCTCCCACGCCGCTGGCTGTCCTCTGCGTGTCCTCTTTCTTTTCTGCCTCTGGCTCCTTCGCCAGTCTTCTTCCAGCCTCCACGGCCTGAGGCCCACAGGCTCTTGTCTGGGAAACCTCATCCATCAGGCTCTTGGGCCACACCTGCTGGAGGTGCCCTGTCCCCTACCCACTGCCTGCCAGACCCCCGAGGAGTTTTGTGTAGAGGAGGCGCTGCCTCGATGGGTCCTGATCGTGACTGAACTCCAGTTGGTGACCATTGCTGACTCCACCCTTCCCAGGGTGGGGGGAGCATGGTTAGGGAACTGGAGGAGGGGCACCTCCGAGCCTCTGGGGCTTCATCTGGGGCGGGCGTAGCAGCCTGCGCCTGTGAGCCTCCTGAGCGGCCACAGTCAGGAGCGTGTGCTGGACTCAGGCGGGAGCCCCGCCCCAGTGCCCTTTGCACTTTGTCACTTTCAAACCCCCTTGAGACCCCCTTGAGAAGCTGCACTGGTTCTCATTGCGCCCCAGGAACGAGGTCTTGGGGTGATGTAGGAGAGCTGGGATCGTCAGGGAGAGACAGAGCTGGGAACTGCCTGTGGCTGCCTGTCTCCCGATCGTGCCTGGGCTGACCTCCCCGTGGTCCACCCCACCTTAATCTTTTCTCTCTTGTCCCTACTCAGACTAGGAGCCCCACAGGTGTGGGTCAGAGGCTGCTTTCCGCTGCCTGGGTTCTTTTTCTTTTTTTTCCCCCAAAAAGACAAAAATCTTTATTTGGCTACGCCGGATCCCAGATGCAACATGCGGGGTCTTCAGTTGCAGCATGTGGGATCTGGCTCCCCCACCAGGAGTCGGACCCGGGCTCCCTGGATGGGGAACGCGGGGTCCCAGCCACTGGACCACCAGAGAAGTGCCCCCACCCCGCTGCCTGGCTTGGATGGCAGCCAGGGAGGTGGGGCCCAGGAAGACCCTTCTGGGGCCTGAGTCTTCTTCCAGGGCCAGTCCTGCTTCAGCTTTGCTGCCACCTTGGTCTGGTCAGCGCCGACGGCCTGGCCAGCGTAGATGGGTCAGCTCAGGCGGCCTGGCCAGCGTAGCCGGGGGCTGTCAGAGCCCGAGGCTGGCCCACCCCCAGTGTGCGCCCCTCCTCACATCCCCTGTCTCTCTCCTCCCCCTGTCTCTTGTCTCTCTCCTCCTCCAGACCAGCTCCTCCTCTGCTGTGGCCTTGAGCTCCTCGGGGCTGCCACCTGGCTCAGCTCCATCCTCACACCACAGCCTCCCCCCTCCACCTCCTCCCGGGCCCTCTGGAGGCCTGCCACCCCCTTGGAAGCCCTCCTCTCAAGGCCACAGCCACACCCGGGGAGTCCTCTGCACCGAGGACAACGTGGCCCCTGGCCAGCTCGATTTGGCTGGCCTTGGGCTGATGCCTGACACCCCCAACTCAAGGTCGCCCTCCACAGAGGGTTGGCCGGGGCCGCTGGTTGTAGAGAGCCAGGCTCGCGTTTGGAGGGACCCACCAGACCAGGTCGGGGAGCTCTGCAGGGCGCCTCCCAGCCACACTCTACCTAATGCTGGGGGCACAGGTCCCCAGGAGCCTGGGGCTCCCCAAGCGCCGTCGGCCAACACTGTGTGCCCGGAAGAGGCAGTGGCTGCCACTTGGCAGGGGCCGTGGGCTCTGGGGGCGCTCAGGCCTGAGCCCCCGCGGGGAGCTGCGCCCAGCTTCCACGAGGTCACCGAGCCAGCCGTTGTGGCCGTGGACCATCAGGCCGTCTTCCCGGATACCTGGAGCCTCACGGAGGAACGTGGATGGCAGGAGAGGGCAAGGCCCGAGCCAGGGGCGCCGGAGAGCAGCCGCCGCACCCCCGTTGAGGATGAGCAGCTAGGTGGAGAGATGCCCACGGCAGGCGGCCTGGTCAGGCCAGCCCGGGGACCTGAGACCCCCAGGAGGCCAGAGGGTGCCACCGAAGCCACCACCGAGGCCAGGACGGGCCAGGCAGAACTCCCACGGGCTGTGGCCGTGGACACAACCAGCACCACAGAGAGGATTTCCACAGCTGGCCAGGCAGGCGCGCGCTCGCCCGGCTGCTCAGCGTGGCCCCGCCTGGCTGACTGCATGCGCTCCCTGTCTGCGCATGTCTGCTTGGGCGGCTGGTTGCAAGAGGCTGCGGCCTGAGACCCCGACGGCCAGCGCTGGGCAGTGGGCTCTGTGGGGCTGGCAGAGCTCCCTGGGCCCCGGAATTTCTCCTAGTGACAGCCAGCCTCTTGCTCGATGAAGGCTTTTTCCTTTAGATGAGCTTTGCCCGACATCCTGATGGGATGTGTGTGGAATGGTTAAAAGCATGGGCTTTGGAACCAGCAAGAAGTGAATGAATACAAACCACGCCTCCAACACGTGTGCCCCGTGTGGCCTTGGGCAACCCCCCTGCCACCAGCCTCAGTCTTCTCATCTTTAAAATGAGGGAAAATAGACCATTTCCCCCAGGGTTGTCCAAAGGATTAAATGAAACAATGCCTGGAAGGTGCTTCGGAAGAACACAACGTGCTGTCCCCAGTAAGCTATGGCTGACGTTATGTTATTATCTGCTTTTTGCTTGATTGAAATTTTTAGGCCCTTTTCAAAAGCAACAACAAAATGAAACCAAACTACTAGAAACAAGTAGGTTATAATCCTGCTTATATAAACGAGGAAAAAAAAACTGGTTAAAGGATTTACTGGAAGAAAAGACAGTTCTTTTGTTTCTATTAAGAAACAAAAAAAAAGGAAGGAAAAGTCTCAAGCCCGTTTGAGACTGTCCACTTAATGTTCTTTCACATCATTCTTGTAATAACCCCTTAAAGCAGTTGAAGAAAAAAAATACCATTACCACATTTCAAGGATGGAGAAGCTGAGGCCCTGGAAGTTCAGGGTCTTACCCAAGGTCAGGGCCCCCTGCCTCTGCCCTAGCTCCGCTCGGCTCATCTCTGATGGTTGGGTTTTGCCCTCCCCTCCTGGGCGCCCCCCCATCCCCCACCCCCCGAGTGTGGACTGAGCTGCCTCTGCTGAGCCCAGAGTGGCCTGTGACAGCGTGCCTCCCCCCTAGATCCGCTCGGTGATCAGGAGGAGCCGGGAGACCGGCCACGCTCACCCCATGTCCCGGGAGCCCTCCCCTCGCCGCCGGCTGGACCCCGCCACCCTAAGCAGGACCCCGTCCCAGGAGCGGCTCATCGCCGAGCTGCAGGGTCGGCTGGGCATCCGGCCGGAGGCAGAGGAGACCACGGGGGCCACAGGGGCCTCCGCCGAGGACTGGCTGACCGAGGGCATCGTCATCACCGTGCAGCCGCGTGGGAGGCGGGCTGGGGGGCAGCTGGTGGAGAAGGTAGTGAGCAGATGCCCCCGGGCTGGGCTGGGGCAGAGAGGTCCTCCGGTTCTTCCCCAGCCCTGGCCAGAGGGCAGGCGGCGGGGTGGGTGGGTGGGGGGCGGTCCTGTGTCCTCGCAAGACCGGCCTCACCCCTGATGCCAAGAGTGAGAGGCCCCGGGAGCCCCTGCCTGCCAAGATGCTGTCTCCTCCACCATCATCGTCCTCATCTCTGTCCCTCTTCTCTCCCTCCCAGGTCGTCTTTCCTCCTGGCTCTCCTATTCCCCTGCGGAGAACTTTCTCTGTTCTGCCTTCTCCTCCTCCTCCTCCCAGCCCTCTGCTCCAGCACCTCAAAGACGCCTCCTCAGTCAGCAGCTCTCCTCCCCCGCCCATCTGCCAATGCAGGCTTGATCCCTGGGTAGGGAAGATCCCCTGGAGAAGGAAACGGCAACCCCCTCCAGCATACTTGCCTGGGGAATCTCATGAACAGAGGAGCCTGGCACGCTATGGTCCATGGGGTCACAAAACATTCAGACACAATTTACTGACTAAATAACAACAAAACTCCCATGACTGCAGACCAACCTCTCCCAGGACTCAGCCCTTTTCCCTATTTTTTTTTCTATATTTGATGAAAGTATTATGAAGCTTACATTGTGTGTGCATGCTAAGTTGCTTCAGTCACATCCAACTCTTTGTGACTACTGATTCTCTTTATGCCGGTACTTACATTATTTGGATGGTGACTTTGACCATAAGAAGAGATGACCTTAAAGTTATGTGTATTTAGAGGGAAAGCTGCAGCCACTAGAACATTCTGGTGAGTGATGCTGAGCTAGATAACACGGATTGGGCTGCGTATGTCATCAGCCACTATTAGCCAGACCTCCTTTTGGTTAATGTTCAGAGTGGCTGGGTAATATGAACATTGTCCTGTCCCTGTTGTCTCTGTCTCTCTGTCTCTGTCTCTTGCTCTCCTCCCCCCCCCCCCCCCCCCCGCTATCCCCTGCGGCCCCTCCGGGGTCCAGAGCACTGGGATGGGGCCTCGGGGAGTCGGCGTGCAGGGCCCCGCCCCGCGCACAGCTGCATCCTGCTCCGTGAGGTCCATAGGCTGCCAGACGGACGAGGATCCGCTCTTCCCCCTGATGCAGGCAGGCCTCCCGGGGCCCCGGCCCCACCTGTCCTGTCCTTATGCTCCAGTGGCATCCCGACTCTGCACACACACGTGCATACGGCCCTGTGTCCCTCCATCCACAAAGTACCATGTCCATCCATCCACAAGGTACCTGCGAGGTACCACAGCCCTTCCTTGGACTTGGCCTTGACCCTGGACCCTCGCTTCACCTGATGTCTACGCTCGCTCCCTCCCCTGAGGTGTCAGCCGCTCCTCAGTCCCGCCCTTGGCTCCCTCTGAGGATGCTGTCCTCAGAAGGAAAACCAAACCTGTTTCCCCTGCAGCCCCAGGCCTGGTACCTGGCGAGGCTCTCTGGCCCGTCACTTCCGCTCGCTCAGTCCTGCGCCTTTGGGGGGCTTACCTCTCTCTTCCCTCTTCATCTCTCCCCGGGCCCCTCTCTCGTGGTTGTTTTTCTGTAGGCTTTTTTTCCCTGATTTTGGTTACTGCCAGTAGGGGGTAAAAGAAATCCATTCTCTTATTTCATCCTAAAGTCCCTTTTGTGACACGGTCTAGTAACAAGTTCTCTTATTCTTTCTTCCTTAATTTGAAAAAAAAATAAAAGCAATCCTTCTTCTCGTTTCCTCCCCTAAGATCCAGGGCCTGGAACAGAGAGCGGATGGTGAGCTGTGCTGGGCGGCCGGCTGGCCTCTGAACAGCAGGCAGAGCGGCCCCGAAGGGCAGGACGCGGGAGGGGTCAGTGCCGAGGCTGGGGCTGCAGGTCCTGCTTGCGGTGTGTTCCGGGGCCCGGTCAGGCCCACCATGAGCCCCTGGGGCCCCTGGATGCGTTGTGGAGACTGTTCCCACCTGAGGGCTTCCAAGGCCCCTGGAGAGGCTACACTTCCACCTCAACCTGCCTGTCCAGGAGGGAGAGACGCCCTCATGCGGCAGCAAGTCCCCGCCCCTCAGGCCCTGGTGTGCTGACCCGCCTGCTCTCCCTGTCTCCGCAGTTCATGGCCCAGGGGAAGACAGGGAGCAGCTCTCCCCCAGGCGGCCCCCCGAAGCCTGGGAGTCAGCTGGACAGCATGCTGGGGAGTCTGCAGTCTGACCTGAACAAACTGGGGGTCGCTACGGTCGCCAAGGGAGTCTGTGGGGCCTGCAAAAAGCCGATCGCGGGGCAGGTGATGAGGGGTTAGGCAGGGTGCCCAGGGGGCGGGGCCGGTCCCAAGCCACATCCTCACGCCCCTCGTCAGGTGGTGACGGCCATGGGGAGGACCTGGCACCCGGAGCACTTCGTCTGCACCCACTGCCAGGAGGAGATCGGCTCCCGGAACTTCTTCGAGCGGGATGGACAGCCCTACTGTGAAAAGGACTATCACAACCTCTTCTCTCCGCGCTGCTACTACTGCAACGGGCCCATTCTGGATGTGAGTGCCCGGGTGCAGGGCAGGGGCCAGGCAAGGCCCAGAGAGTCACGCAGCAGGCCGGAGCACACACAGCCGGGAAACTGGGATTTACCCTCTAGCCTGAAGCGCAGCCTGTCCTAACGCCCATCAAGCAGCCATCCCTCACTCCCTTCTGCTGAGGATAGGTGGAGTGGAGTGCAGGCTCCCTCGCTCTTCTGCTGTGTGACGTTAGGGAAATGCCTAGCCTCTCTGGGCCTCTGTGTCTACACTTACAAGATGGGTGGCCCAGTAGAACCTATGACCTCAACTGCCTGTGAGGATTACAGGAGATAGAGCGTGTCTGGCACGTCACATCCTTTTCAATAAATCGGAATTCTCAGTAGTGTTCAAAGCACAGCTAGGAGAGACCCCCGTCTGGGGAGCGTCACGCTCCTTCCTTGGCCGGGGGTGGGGGTGGAGGGGGGCGAGGAGGACTGCCTGGCCTGCGGGTCTGTCTCAGCTGGGGCTGGGGGGGTCTGTCCTGCGGGCCAGTCGCTCAGCTGGGGCCGCACACTTGGCTTCCACAGAAAGTGGTGACGGCCCTCGACCGGACGTGGCACCCGGAGCACTTCTTCTGTGCCCAGTGTGGCGCCTTCTTCGGGCCTGAAGGTACTGAGCCTCGGGGGGTGGGCTGGGGCGGGAGTCAGGGCGGCCTCTCCCCGAAGCCTGACCGCCCTCCAACCCCCGCCCCTCAGGGTTCCACGAGAAGGATGGCAAGGCCTACTGCCGGAAGGATTACTTCGACATGTTCGCGCCCAAGTGCGGTGGCTGCGCCCGGGCCATCTTGGAGAACTACATCTCGGCCCTCAACACCCTCTGGCATCCTGAGTGCTTCGTGTGTCGGGTAAGGGCCCCCGTCGCTTCCTCTAGAGGGCCCGAGGGTGGGCGGCTGCGGGAGAAGCGGCTGCCTCCCCGTGCCTTCTGAATCCAACTTACAGGGCCCACTGGAGGTTCTTGATCAGGTGGGAAGGCAGGCGGCGCACTCCCTCAAGCGTAGTCGGTCCTGGGCTAGGGCTTGTGCAGGGGCTGCGAGAAACGAGAGCAAGGCAGACAGACCTGCGCAGCCGCCCCGGGTCAGGCCATGTCCAGGAGAAGGGGGTGTGAGAATGACATGAGGCAACAAGCCTTCAGCTGCCTCGGCGGACAATGGACGATGGTTTCCAGACTGCATTCTGGGGGGTGATGGCCCCCAGATGTTATGAGGGTTCCGGCAGGGGTCCCCTAATTAAGTAAGTTTGGGAAACACTGTTCATTGCAGGACTTCTCAGAGTCTTTAATACCTGAGTGTGCCTGTGGCGCTCTATAAACGGGAATCTAGGATGCAAAGTTTGACCTTGGAACCCTTTTTGTTTTGACACAAGGGTTTCTGGGCACATGTGCTGCAGTGCCCAGAAGTCGGACCTGTGTTTGAATCCAGGCAGTGCGACTTAGCAGGCTTCCCTGGTGGCTCAGTGGTAAACAATCTGCCTCCAATGCAGGAGATGCGGGTTCGAACCCCGGGTCAGGAAGATCCCCTGGAGAAGGAAATGGCACCCCACTCCAGTATTCTTGCCTGGAGAATCCCATGGACAGAGGAGCCTGGCGGGCTACAGTCTGTGGGGTCACAAAAAAGTTAGACATGACTTAAGTTAGACATGACTCAAGCAAGAAACACAGGAGTGCAACTCGGCAGCAGCGGGTCAAGGTCATTGTTGGGAGAACAGAGTGAGGGTTAGCGCCACGCTGGGCGCGTGGAGAATGCTTATCGAGGGGGAGTCGCTTCCAGTGTGACCGCCCTGACGGTCCCCTGCCCGGCACCCGGGAGCTGCCTCAGCCCCCAGCCGCCCAGCCTGAGCACCCCCTGCCCGTCGTCTCTGCAGGAGTGCTTCACGCCGTTTGTCCACGGCAGCTTCTTCGAGCACGAGGGGCAGCCCTACTGCGAGGCGCACTACCACGAGCGGCGGGGCTCCCTGTGCTCGGGCTGCCAGAAGCCCATCACGGGCCGCTGCATCACCGCCATGGCCAAGAAGTTCCACCCGGAGCACTTCGTCTGCGCCTTCTGCCTCAAGCAGCTCAACAAGGGCACGTTCAAGGAGCAGAACGACAAGCCTTACTGCCAGAACTGCTTCCTCAAGCTCTTCTGCTAGGCGCCCGCCCTCCCCGCCTGCCCCTTCCCCGGCCCAGCCTCCAGACTGCGCTGGGGCCCAGAGGCCTCGTCCCGGGGGGCTGGGGTGGGGGGCGGTGGCGAAGGGGCCCGACTGGAACTGGAACCGCGTCCTCGGCGATGGCGACGGCTTCTCTTGCCCCCTGCCAGCGCCTCTGGGCCGCCACCCTCCTCCCGAGGCTCCCCTGAGGCGGAGGCTGGAGGATCCCACCTGCGTCCCCACGAGCCCGCCTGGCCAAGCCAGCACCCCACACTGGAGCCATTTCTTACTCGTATCTCGGCAGTGAAGCCGGGGGCGGGGAGGGCAGGCAGGGTCAGACGGGGGCCTCTTTGCATCCTTATCCCCCACCCCAACCTCGTCAGCCCTGTTCTGAGAGTACTGGGGGGATGCCAGCTCCCCCCAGGCAATGCCAGCATCCACCCACCCATCCACCCAAGGGCGGACGTGCCCACGGGGCCACAGAAGGTTCCTTGCGCGCCTCCTGCCCTTCCCATCTCCCCAGGCCTGGGCAGCTGCCCCCAACACCTGCCCCCCGCCCCCCCCACAGCTGCTCTGGTTCTACTGAGAAAGGCCTCTCCAGCAATAATGTTTTCTAGTCACTTCCTCCATCTCCTGGGATGGCGTGAGGTGGCGAGTGTCGCCCCATTGCCCGGACACTGTACCAACTTTGATAGTTTTCTACACTGAGGTTTGAATTCGTATCATCTGAGTTGCTTTTACTTCTCTATATGAAGATGATTTTGAAGAGGTTTTACCGACGTCTCCTTTTGTACGCCTCCCCCGCGCGCTGCCGCTGGCCCGGTGCACACCGCGGTGGCTGCGGGACGTGCGGGGCTTGCCTTGTTCTGAGGGCTCGGGGCAGGGAAGCAATTCATATTTTATTTTTTTCTTAGCACAAGCAGGTGAGCGGGTAGTGGCTCTGTTGGCTGTCCATCTGTAACTTCACAGCTCACCAGGACTGGTTTATAAACTGCTGTATTTCGAACCCCCTTCCTCACTCCCCAGGCCAGCAAGCTCTTCACTGAGACCGGCCTGAAGGGTGTCTTGCCCTCTGGGGCCTAGAATTCCGAACCTCATCCGTCCTGTTTCTGAGCGGGGAGAGAGGGGGAAGTCCACTCTGGGGGTGCCGTTAGGGGCGTCCACAGAGAGACTTTCTGGCCACAAAGAGAACATTCTTGGCCTCCCCACTGCTACTCTGGGGCCCTTTCTTCTGCCTCCTCAGGAAAGCTGGGATTTGATTTTGACTGTTAGTCTTGTTGATTCCACTGGGTGTGTCCCTTCCCCAAACTTCTTGCCTTCCCTGGAGACTGGTGGTGGCCCCCGGGGAGAGAGCCCACCCCGGCTGTGTCCTAGGGGCCTGATAGGATTCTGGGCGGAGGGACAGGATCCCAGCGAAGCAACAGGAAGCCCCCTGAGGATGAGTCAGGCCGGGCTGGGGTTCCGGGTCAGTGGAACGGGGGCCCCTAAGTGAGGGCAAGCCAGACCCACTCCATTAACCTCATCAGAGGCTGGGTGTGCTGAGCTTCTCAAGAGGAGAAGGGGGTCCCTCCTCGGAGGCGGGGCTGGGAGCAGCCTGGGTCTGGGGAGGTCGGCCAGGCCCCGCCACAGGTCTGATGTCTCCATTTCTACCCATAGGCCTTATTGCTCTGTTTACAGTGACCCACCCCAGACCCCTCCCCTAGAGGATCTGGGACTTCCAGAGGTTCTACCCTCGGGGTCGATGGTTATTTGATGATTTGATTTTTAATTTTCTTTTCCTCTGTAAACTTATAACCTGGCTTTTCCCCATTTTAATTCCTGTGATTTATGCCAATAAAGTTTGCCATTATTTTCACCTGTGCTAGTGCTATTTCTTTGTGGTCTGAGATGAACAAGTCAGCCCCAGAAGAGAGACCAAACCCTCCCAACTCACAAGCACCACAGTTTGAGGGTCAGTCACTGAAGTTCACTTACCCGAGGGGCCCTCCCGGGGCACTTGTGGGCCTCCTGGCTTTCTTACCCACTGCAATTTGCCATGGGTTGACTCCCGTGGGCGTGGGTATGTGGCCTCGCACTCACGGATGGGGAAAGAGGTTCAGAGAGACTGTGAGATATCCTGTGAACGAGCACAGAGACAGGCTGTGAACCCAGGGATTGTCTCTGTTCTTATGTTGACCAGACACACCACCACTGCCCCCCAGTTCTGGCACCACACCTTGGGTGTAGAACCTTCCTTGTTGAAAGTGGATGTGAGAGTTGGACTATAAAGAAAGCTGAGCGCCTAAGAATTGATGCTTTTGAACTGTGGTGTTGGACAAGACTCAAGAGAGTCCCTTGGACTGCAAGGAGATGCAACTTGTCCATCCTAAAGGAAATCAGTCCTGAATATTCATTGGAAGGACTGATGCTGAAGCTGAAACTCCAATACTTTGGCCACCTGATGCGAAGAGCTGACTCATTTGAAAAGACCCTGATGCTGGGAAAGATTGAGGGCAGGAGGAGAAGGGACGACAGAGGATGAGATGGTTGGATGGCATCACCGACTCAATGGACATGAGTTTGAGTAAACTCCGGGAGTTGGTGATGGGCAGGGAGGCCTGGCGTGCTGCAGTCTATGGGGTCGCAGAGTCAGCTGAGCGGCTGAATTGAACTGAACTGACTTAGGAGTCGATGATGGGTCTCGACTGCCCCCTGGCGGTCATGTCTGTATCTGCATGCATGCTGCGGCTTCGCCGTAACTCTAGTCCTGGGCCTTTGCAAACTTCCTGGACAGTTCTGTAGCTTTGCAGTTTCCCTGTGGTTTGGAATGGCCCTCCAAAAGCTGCATGTCGATTTCTTTCTTTTTTTTTTTTTTTACCTTTCAAATCCACTTTTATTTTCCTTTTTCCTCCTCACATACAGAACTTTTCCACGCACTGAATTTCTTGCAGCTATAAAGTCATTTGATGTTGGTCAGGTACCATTTTATACCCTAAAACTTTGCTGGCATCAAAATATGACAGTTAACCAGTGCATGTCGATTTCAAGTCTGAACCTTGACCATTTCACATTGAGCTCAGAAGTGAAAATTACCTTCACCCCTCACCCAAAGATCATATTTCCAACTCATGTTGGACTTATGTAAATGAACATGGTCCACTTCATTGTAACTGGCTCACTCAGCTGTACTTTATGTTTTCCCATGTCAATAAATAGAGATGGGCATCATTTTTAATGGCTTCATGGTATCCATTATATTGAGGTACTACAATTAGAGACGATATCATCAGAGGCAGGATGTCCTTGGGAAGTTAATATGTCAGTATGTGCTTTCTCGCTCCCTGGCCATCTTGGCGGCTGCTCTTGGTTGGGGGCGTCCCGCATCTAAAGCAGGAAGATGGTGGCCGCAAAGAAGACGAAAAAGTCACTGGAGTCGATCAACTCTAGGCTCCAGCTGGTTATGAAAAGTGGAAAGTACGTGCTGGGGTACAAACAGACTCTGAAAATGATCAGACAAGGCAAAGCGAAACTGGTCATCCTCGCCAACAACTGCCCAGCCTTGAGGAAATCTGAAATAGAGTATTACGCCATGTTGGCCAAAACTGGTGTCCATCACTACAGTGGCAGTAATATTGAATTGGGCACAGCATGTGGAAAATACTACAGAGTATGCACACTGGCTATCATTGATCCAGGTGATTCTGATATTATTAGAAGCATGCCAGAACAGACTGGTGAAAAGTAAATCATGTACAATTTTTCTTTAATAAAACTGGCCAGAGCTTGTTTTAAGAAAAAAAAAAAAAATGTCAGTATGTATATCCTTGCAAAAGTGCATTTGAAGGAAAAGACAGCCTTAGGGTTTGGAAGGGACTGTATAACATAGCGAGACTTGTGGGCTTTGAACTTGCTTTTAGATTTTGGTTCTGAAGCCATCATTTACCGGCTGAGGGACTTGGGTGATTGATTTAACCTCTGTGAATTTTCTTACCAGTAAAATGGTACTAATACTGTATCTCCTTGGGGATTTGTTGCAAAGATGACCAGCGGTAATGTGCACAAAGTACTTAGAACAATGCTGAGCATGCAGTAATACCCTGTCACTAAAAAGAGGTCTTAGCAGTAATGGACTCCAGCAGTTGTCTATACAGGCTCATCATCAGGAGGCCTGAAAACAAAATACCAGGGTTTCTAACTTAGTCAAGTTAAAAAGGATGGAGTTGGGGAGAACCACCTCCCCCTTCCCACTCTAGGATCTAATCTTATTCATTAAAAACATATTTAATGATATAGCACAATTGTTCAAATAAATGTTGACTGAAAGTGTAATAAAATATGTTGACATTAAGTGATTTCTTCCTACATTCCAGGAACTGTGTTAACACATGCCTCACGTAATCCTCATGGGGTGTGAATACTATTATCCTCATTTTACAGATAGGGAAAGAGAGGGTCAGCAAGGTGAAATCACTTCCTAAGATGACCAACCTAGCAAGTGACAGAATAAGGATATGAATTCAGGTTATCTGACTGCAAACTCTGCATCCATTCATTCAACAAATATTTATTATATGCCCATAGGTGCCAGACTCACGGCAGAGAGGGAGAGACAATTTATTTTAGTGTGTTACTAGGTGGAAGTGCTACCAAAAAGTTAAACCGGAGGAAGAGGGAAGTGGGAGTGGTTTTGGGGGTAATTCTGAATAGGGCAATTGGGGTAGACCTCCAGCAGGTGATCACTGAAGCAAGACGCGATGGAGGTGTGGATATCGGCAAGAAGCCGTCTAGGAAGAGGGAATAGAGAGTGCATGAGCCCTGAAATGGGAGCGTCACCCAGCTGGGAGGAACTGAGTCAGTGGGCAAATCGGAGATGAGATGATGGGGTGGAGGTGGGGAACAGATCATGCAGAGCCTTGTAGGCCATTTTCGTTTTAGGTTTTTTACTGGGAGGGAAATGGGGAGACTCGGAAGTATTGCGAGCAGATGAGGAAGTGATCCGACTTAGGTTTAAAGGATCCCTTTGTTTCAATGGGGGGAGAACAAACTGTAGAGGAGACGAGAGACCATCCTGTTTCTAAAGCATGAGAGCTCTTTCTCAACGTCATTCTTTGTAGTTGCGACTTGGCCAGGTGACCAAAGGAAACGTGAGCCCAGCTTGCAAACGTTAACTCTACATGGCAGCGCCTCCAACCCGGCAGAGGGCAGCAGCTCTGAGAATGCGCCTCCAGGACACAGCAGTGCCCTCCTTAACGACCTCGTTTAAAAGCAGCTTCCTGTTGGTTGGAGTGGCAGGGATGTCACCCAATGGCTGCCTGCATCTATCCGATTTCTTCAGACAGACGTTGGCACCAGCCAATGGCGGGGGGGGGGGGGGGGG